ACACCAACATCCACCTGGAATCCAAATTGTAATTGCCATCACCAATGGTTGCTGCATCATGACAGTGTTGGGGGAGGGGCTGCATCAGATGAGAGGATCCTAATTTAAAAGTGATTCACTCCATTAGCATCCCATGGTCCTTTATTTCCTAACCTCTTTCCTTTAGTTCAGATCTCTATACTCAGTACAAACAGATGGAAGTGGGTCAATATTAAGTTTATGGTTACACATGTCTTTAAACTTTCTAACAGTTAACAGTACCCAGAGACCTCACTATAGGAATCTTATGTTTGTGTAATACCCATTCACCCAGAATACATATCTGACTGTTTCTTTTCTGCTGAAACACCCACACTCTCAGAACATGGATCCATTTTTTCATGGGGGCTGAAATTCCTAGATATGAAGCCAATTCCAATGTACACTTTACTGTCTGTCTCTTTTGCTCTTAGTATAGTTTTGTAGAGCTAATTGTCTTTGTTATAGGCGTATGCCATTTATTCTCTACGTGGGGTTGAATAGGCCATTCATTCATACTTTTGGAAGACTAGTAAATCTATATCATGGAATATGAATATACTTTACTCAAAATAGGCTTTTGGGTTAGGTCGAGATTTGGTCTTATGAATCAATACTTATGACTATTATTGTACGCATCTGTTTTCTGAATACAAGTGTGTTGTGTACATGCAAGTAGCGATACTGAGTCGATGCGTGATGAATGTTCTTTGGCATCCCTTTGAGTACTTTCTTTTGAATTATCATGGTTCCTTTGGATATATTTCAGCCTACCGTACTCTTTGGTGTTTGTTTGTTTGCTTGATTTCTTGTTTCTTTGCTTGTTCTTTGTTTTGCAAACACATTAGTCAATGCATTGCTCCGTTTGCCACAAACACAGAGTTATATAATCTAATTCACTAAGTATAGTGCTGAAAATCACCTTTGTGTTCCTGCTTCCCTCTCCCATCTTTAGGGTTTTGATGTCCTCCTTAAACACTTCTTTTCTATTCTGTGAAACTCATTGCTCTTCCTGCATTTCCAATGATGGTTTTCTAATTTCTGTTACTTGTTGCTACTTTTCTATTCAGGGTAGAATTCTCAATCTTCCTTTTAGGATAAGTTTCAAACTGCTGAATTCTTTTAACTTTTGCTGATCTGTGAAATTGTCTAGCTCTGTCGTTATAAGAAATGGCAGGCTTGTGACATATGCTACCCTAGATTGCAGCTCTTTCTCATTCAGGATTTGGTTTATGTCCTGGCACTCCTTCCTGTCCTGAAGTATTTCTGTTGATATATCAGCTGAAACCCCTCTGGAGTTTCTGTTGTGACTAAGTTGCTTTCCTCTAGGTGTATTTAAAATCAATGCGTTGATCATGAACTTTAATGACTTGAATGATAATACCGCTGCTTGTAGGTCTATTGGTATTCCACATAATTTGGGTGCTGTTTGCTCCTGGTTTCATATAGATGATTGTTTCTTGGCTTTCAGCAAGTTTCACTGTGTTTTTTCTACTAATATCTTTTCAGATTTTTTTTTTATATCATGCTTTTCCCTCTGAGACTCCTATGAATCGTAGTCTTTCATGCTTTATCTTACCCCAGGATTCAACAGCAATATTTTCATTGGTTTTCACTTGCTTTTCTATGTCATCTTCTGATAGCAGTATTTCTGTTCCCCTGTGTTCACAGACATTCACGAGTCCCTATGCATTATCTAGTCTGCTTAGGACTGAATTAACCCTGCTATTATCTCATCCATTGATTTTTCTGATTTTATTTAGCTCGCCCTAGAGATTTTCTCCCCCTTTTCTGATATTCTGCCTTTTGTGATTCTGAGACACTGTTTTTCTTTATTATTTCTCTCACCACCATTTTCAATAATTGCTCTGGTAGTGTTTTGCAATCTATTTATTTGAAAGCTATTTAGTTGGTCTTCAATGTCTTTGGAACTGAGAATGGTACTTCCTGTTTCTTTTACTATACATCTTTATCTCTACTGGTCAAGTACTCTCAGGTATCTAATGCAGATTTCTACTGCTTCATGAAGTGAAAATTATAGTCTCTTGGGTGTACACAATTCCATGATATTTCTGTGAGGACAATTTTTCCTAGACATTGATGCCATGTCAGTTTCCTCTGTGTGTTGTCTGGTATATCTTTAATTGCTTATGATGCTTTTGTTGTGATGAACATACCATGCCCTCGTGTTTTTTTATAACCTCATTTTTATTACACTTATGTCACATTTCTGAATTTTAACATGACACATCCTCTTGTGGAAATGAAGCATCTAAAAGTTTCAGCTCTGCAGACAGTTTTATGTCATTTTGGAGTGTTTCCAAAAGAGCATCTTGACAGTGCACTTTTCCTTTCTATTTCCATGGGAATATCCCAATGTTACCAGTTCTTCCCAGAGCTTCTCTGTCTGCAGAAAAACCTGTGGAAACATATCTAAGGATGTCATGCATCAGGACCTGCTAGCATTATCAAGCAGAACCACCTAGTTGTCCTTGGTGCCATACCATGTCAGTGCAATCCAAAATGTAGCATCTGCATTTGGGAGATAATGGTGAAGGAAATGCTTCATCTTCTCATGCTGTGCACCTAGAAAACTATTATTTGTTCTCTCATCCTTGTAGGTTTTGACCATGAAGGCAACCACAGAGCTGTCCCACATCCTCCACCTCATACCAATCCGTAATCACAATCCAGGCTAAGAATAAAGCTGATCCTAAGGCTTTGGAAACTGATTTCAACCCCAAGGCCCCCTGGATCTCTCAGACCAGATGCATGATTTCTCTGATTGAGCCCCACATGTGCTCTATTGGCAAAATGCCAAATTGGTTCCTTGTCCTGCAGATATAGTGGATGTGATCATGGGACATTTTGATAAACTCAACTTTGCACACCAGGGTTGTTCCTTACTCACGGGTGTCCAAGGTCAGTTTCCTCTCTTGATAGGGTCAACCACAATCCACAACACACTCCACATCCCTGAGAAACAGCATGTGCCATCATCCATAACCTGATACCTCATTTTCTGCAGCCACTGCTAGCTCAAATTTGGCAGCTTGTTTCTTGTTCTCAGAATCAATTGTGGGGGTATTTTGTGCTAACTTCTTTGAGCTCTGTCAGCCAAGCATCTGCTGTGAACTCTTCTAACACTCAGTGCATTGCTTTCAATCCCATGTGTCCTGTCCACTTGAAAGTGTGTGTCCAAGTAAAATAGAGTTTCACTTTTGTTGCTCTATCACCAAAGGTCAGGTCCTGCACTGATATCCATTCTCTACTTTGCCTTCTCCTCCTTCCAGGATTTCTGATGCCTAATTCTGTATTTGTAAGTAAGAGACCACCCTTCGGCAAGTGTCCTGAACCAAGGGCAGGGTAGTGGATATTTCTCTTCCTGCATACATGGGAGCTAGTGATCGTTGTTTGCACTAGTACTCTGCCAACTGAGCCTCGATAAATCAACACTTTCCATATATAACTCAGAGAAATGTGATTCTTGTTTATCTCTAATTTCTATACAGCCATGGTGGGAGGGTTTGTCCAAATAACCCAGTTTTGATGTTGTGTTGATTCCTCAGTTGCAGTCTTTCAAAATCTTAATAAAATTGATTTACATATTTTGGGATTTATATGAAAATGAAGTTAGTTTTTGAAACATACTAAATCTACTTACAAGCCAGACTTGTCAAATTCAGTTACCATTTTGTCAGCTCTAAGGGAAATGTAGACAGATAGAATGTAAATAGAAGTCCAAAATGATGAAGGGTAAAGGTCAACTATTTACTGTTGATGACTCCAACACCAACAGGAGCCATGAAATAACCATTGGAACCATGAAATAACTTCCACCCTGAGTTTCCCTTGTGCCTGTGGTAAACTTTCCTCCCAGTGACACATACTGGATGATGTTTTCATATCAAAGTGGCAACATTTCTCCTTAGGAAAACACAAGGAAAATGAAACAACATATTTATATATAGGCTTGGCCCCAAAAGCACCTAAGAGCATTACAGCTATGAGTAAACTGCTGCAGCTTTGTGAGGCTATTGAGAACCAGGTTCTCTTCTATCAACCATGAGAACGCTTTATCTTCCGATCATGCAGGATAATGAAACTTACAACAAAGTCTGCAACCTCATAATATACTGCACCTGTGGCTGGAATGAAGGGAAAAGACGGTCCACATAACATGTGTCCTTACATGTCTATGGCAAATGTTACAGTTCTATTCACTAACTAACATAATATTTACCTATACTGTCTTTAAAAACAGGGACCTAATACATATTCAAGTTCAGTCAAAGATTCCGCTCACTTACCACACTCCCTTCACCCCAAAGAAGACATAAACCCAGCATTTGCTGAATCTAGGTGAAGGTCATCATTTTTTTGTGTGAGCTAATTATTAAAATCCTATCTATTTTAGTCAACAGTATTTGACCATTGAGGTGTTCAGTGTTGTGCACAGAGTGTGAATTTGTAAGAATATTGGATCTAGGAGGGACTTGCTATTTTCCAACTGGCTTCATTGCAGCTTAGTTGCTGATCTTTTGAAATGGATGCCTGCATGGAGGGTAGGGAAGAGCAAGTCCTTGACAGTTAGTCCCAACAATGGGTAAAAGCTAACCAGGGCTTCATGTTCTGTAGCCCGTGTGATTTGTAAACAACCCTTAGGACGTGTAGATTCTCACGACCTCTTCCAAGAACATGAGCAGTTTTATCATATCTGCCATCTCTTCTCTTTTAGACGTCAGGAATCTTGGACCACTTCTTGAAGCAGAGAATTGAGTAACTTCCTGAAGTTCACGTTGGCCCTCCACAGGTTTCTGCTAGTATCAGAGAAACTAAACATGTCTCATGAATGTCTTTTGAGCCTGGTATTGTCTAAAGAAGACTCCATGCCAGTATTCTCCATTGTAGCAGAACAACTCCCATCAATGTATTCACATCTCTCCTCAATCCGTGCAGCCAAGTTTTCTGCTGGCTACTCTTCGTGTCTCCCACAAAGTCAACTACTACATTACTGGGAATATCTGAAAGTACCTCAGAGTCTAAACAGTAAGGTGATGTCAGGCAGACCTTCCACTGTCTCTCTTTTCAATTTCTAGAAACTGACCCGTGATCTCAGGCCTTTGGGTAGCAGCAGTATCTCGAACTTACACAGCTTCCTGAACAATAGAACTAAGCCAAGCTCCACAGAGGATGGCAGCCCCTCCATGACAGTGATCCACCCACAGAGCTCTGCCCAGTTACCTAGGATCCACCAGTCATAACAATCCTCGAGGAACACACCAACAGTCCACCTGGAATCCAACCGGTAACTGCCACCCCAATGGTTGCTGCATCTTGTCAGTGTTGGAGGAGGGGCTGCAACAGACGACACGTTCCTAAAATAAAAGTGATTCTCTCCATTAGCGTCCCATGGTCCTTTTGTTCCTACCCTCTATCCTTTGGTTCAGATCTCTATACACATTACAAATGGAGGGCATTTTGTCCATTTTAAATTTGTTGTTCCACATGTTTTTAATCTTTCTAACAGTTAAGAGTACACAAAGACCCCACAATTGCAATCTTATGCTTGTGTAATATCAATTCACCCAGAACACATATACGTCTGTTGATTTTCTGCTGAAACTCCCACACTCTCAGAACATGGATCCTTTTGTTTCATGGGGGCTGAAATTCCTAGAAATGAAACCAATCCCAATGTACACTTTACAGTCTGTCTCTTTTGCTATTAGTAGTGATTTGTAGAGCTACTTGTCTTTGTTATGGGCATATGCCATTTACTCTCTGGGATTGAATAGGCCATTCATTCATCCTGTTGGAAGAATAGTAAATCTATATCACAGAATTTGAATCAATTTTATTCAAAGTAGGCATTTGGGTTAGGTTACGATGTGCTCTTATGAATCAATATTTATGAATATTATTGCACACATCAGCTTTCTAAATACAAGTGTGTTGAATACATGCAAGCAGCGATACTGGGTCACTGCATGCTGAATAATCCTTGACATTCATTTGAGTATTTTTTTTTTAATTTTCTTGATTCCTTTAGTTATATGTCAGACAACCATACTCTTTGGTGTTTGTTTCTTCATTTGATTGTTTGTTTGTTTACTTCTTCTTTGTTTTGCAAACACATTAAGCCACTCAAATCTCCGTTTGCTTCAAAGAGAGTCGTATTAGCTGTTTCATTTAGTATAGTGCTGAAATTCTCCTATATTTTCCTGCTTCCCTCTCTCATCTATTGGATTTTGAAGTCCTCTTTGCCTTCTTCTGGTTTATTCATTGCAACTCATTGCTTTTCTTGCATTTCCAAAATGGTATTCTTCTTTCCATTTCATCTTGCTACTTTACTCTTCCGTGTAGTATTCTCAATCTTTCTTTTAGGATAGGATTCTATCTGCTGATTTCTTTTACGTTTTGCTGGTCTGTGAAATTGTCTAGCTCTGCCGTTATCAGAAATGGCGCTCTTGTGGCATAGGCTACTCAAGACTGCAGCTTTTTCTGATTCAGGATTTGGTCTATGTCTTAGCACTCCTTCCTGTCCTGCAGTATTTCTGTCGAGGTATCAGCTGAAACCTCTCTGGAGGTTTTGTTATGACTAAGTTGCTTTCCTCTAGGTGCATTTAAAATCACTGGGTTGATCATGAAATTTGATGATTTGAATGATAATACAGCTGCTTGTAGGTCTGTTGCGGTTCCACATAATTTGGATTCTGTTTGCTCCTGGTTTCGTATAGATGATTGTTTCTTGGCTTTCAGCAAGTTTCAGTTTGATTTTTCTACTAATATCTTTTCAGAGTTTTTTTTTTATATCTAGGTTTTTCCTCTGGGACTCTTATAAATCCTAGTCTTTCATGCTTTGTCTTATCTCAGGATTCAACACAATATTTGCATTGGTTTTCACTTGCTTTTCTATATCATCTTCTGATAGAGGGATTTCTGTTTCCCTGTGTTCACAGATATTCACAAGTCCCTCTGCATTATCTAGTCTGCTTAGGACTGACTTTAGCCCTGTTATTATCTCATGCATTGAGTTTTCTAATTTCATTTGGCTCGTCTCAGAGGTTCTCTTCCCTTTTTCTGATATTTTGCCATTTGTGATTTTGAGACACTGTTGTACTTTATTGTTTCCCTCACCTCCGTTTTCAATAATTTCTCTGGTAGTGTTTCACAATCTAGTTGTTTGAAAGCTTTTTTTGGGGCCTTCAATGTCTTTTGAACTGAGAATGGTACTTCCTGTTTCTTTACTATACTTTATCTCTTCAGGTCAAGTACTATCAGATATCTAATATAGACTTGTAGGGTTTGGTTAAGTGGAAGTTTTAGTCTCTTGAGTGTACACAATTCCATATTTCTGCGAGGACATTATTTCCTATACATTGATGCCATGTCGTTTTCCTGTGTGTGTTGACTAGTATATCTCTAATTGCTGGTGATACATTTGTTATGATGAACACACCATACTCTCGTCATTCAGAATAATCTCATTCTTATTACGCTTATGTCACTTTTCTGAAAGTGCACAGGACCATTCCTCTTGTGGAAATGGAGCATCTAAATGTTTCCAGCTCTGCAGGCTATTGTATGTCATTTTGGACTGTTTTAAAAACAGCATATTGACAGTGCACTTGTCATTTCTATTTCCATGGGAATGTCTCAGTGTGACCAGTTATTCCCAGAGCTTCTCTGTCTACAGAAAAACTACTGGAAAAATATCTAAGGATGTCATGCATCAGGGCCTGCTGCCATTATCATGCAGCCCCACATAGTTTTCCTTGGTGCTGTACCATGTCAGTACCATCCAAATTGTAACATCTACATTTGGTAGATAATTGTGAAGGAAATGCTTCATCTTCTCACACTGCAGACCTAGACCAGTATTCTTTGTTCTCTCATCTTTGTGGCTTGGGACCACGAAGTCAACCGCACAGCTGTCCTGAATCGTCTGCCTCATATCAAACCGTAATCCCAGTCCAGACTAGGAATTTAGCTGATCCTAAGGCTTTGAAAACTGATTTCAACCCCAAGACCCCCTGGATCCCTCAGTCCAGATGCATGATTTCTCTGATTGAGCCCCACATATGTTCTATTGGCAAAATGCCAAATTGGTCCCTGGGCCTGCAGATGCAGTGGTTGTGGCCATGGGACATTTCGATAAACAACTTTGCACGCCAGGGTGGCTGCTTTCTCATTGGGGTCCAAGCTTTGTTTCCTAATTGGTAGGGTGAACCACAATCCACAACACACTCCAGATCCCTGAGACACAGCGAGTGCCATCATCGATAGTCATATACCCCATTTTCCACAGCCACTGCGAGCTCAAATTTGGCATCTCGGATCTTGGTCCCAGAATCAATTGTGGGGATATTATGTGCTGATTTCTTTGAGTTCTGTCAGCCAAGAATCTGCTGTGCACTCTTCTAACACTCAGCGCATTGCTTTCAATCTCATGTGTCCTGTCCACTTGAGAGTTTGTGCCCAAGTGAAATAAAGTTTCACCTTTGCTGCTTCATCAACAGACGTCTGGTACTGCACTCATTTCCATTCTTTTCTTTGCCTTCTCCTACTTCTAGGTTTTCTGAGGCCTCATTCTGTTTTTGCAAGTAAAGGAACACTCTACGGCAAGTGTCATGAACTAAGGGCTTGGTGAGTGTATGTTTATCTTGCTGTGTACTTGCAAGTGAGTGAGCATACGTTGCACTTGTACCCTGCCAACTGGGCATTGATAAATCAACACTTTCCATATATAACTCACAGAAGTGTGATACATGTTTATCTCTTTTTCTATACAGCCATGGTGGGAGGGTTTTTCCGAAGACTCCAGTTTTAACATTGTGTTGATACCTCAGTTGCAATCTTTCAAAATGTTAATAGAATTGATTTACATGTTTTGGGATTTATATATAAATGAAGTTAGTTTTTGAAACATACTAAATCTACTTACAGGCAGACTTGTCAATTTCAGGTACCATTTTGTCAGCTCTAAGGGAAAAATAGACAGATAGAATGTAAAATAGCAGTCCAAACTGATGAAGGGGATAGGTTAACCCTTTACTGTTGATACCTACATCACCAACAGGAACCCACGAAATAACTATTCGAACCATGGTATAACCCCCACCCTGGGTTTCCCTTGTGCATATGGGGCCCTTTCCTCCCAATGACACATACTGACCAATGTTGTCATTTCAAGGGGTAACATTTCTCTCTAGGAAATCACAAGGAAACCGAAAGAAGATATTTATATGTGAGCTTTGTTCCTAAAGCACATAGAGGCATTATAGCTATGAGAAAACTGCTGCAGCTTTGCTAAGCTATTGAGAACCAGGTGTTCTTCTATCAACCATGAGAACACTTAATTGTCTGATCATGTTGGGTAAAGCAGTTTAACCAAAGTCTGCACCCACATGATATACTGCACCCGGAGCTTGAATTAATGGAAAAAACGATTCACATAACATGTGTCCTTACATGTCTATGGTGACTTTTTCAGTTTAATTCACTAACTGACTTATAATAATTTCCTATACTGTCATGAAAAACTGAGGCCTAATACATATTCAAGTTCAATCAAAGATTCCCCTCACTTACCACACTCCCTTCACCCCAAAGAAGACGTAACCACAGCATATGCTGAATCTAGGTGAAGGTCATCATTTTTTCGTGTGAGCTAAGTATTCAATTCCTATCTTTTTTAGTCGAGAGCATTTGACCTTTAAGGAATTCATTGTTATTAACAGAGTGTGAAAGTGGAGGAACTCTGTTTATAGGAGGGGCTTGCTCTTCTCCTACTGGCTTCATTGCAGCTGAGGTGCTGATCCTTTGAAAAGGATGCCTGAGTGGAGGGTAGGGAAAAGCAAGTGCTTCATAGGTAGGCCCAACCCCAGGTAAAAGATTACCAGGGCTTCGTGCTCTGTGGTCTGTGTGATTTTTAAATGCCCCTTGGGACGTGTGGATTCTCAGGACCTCTTCCAAGAACATGAGTGGTTTTATCATCTCTGCCATCTCTTCTCTTTTAGACGTCAGGAATCTTGGACCACTCCTTGGAGCAGAGAATTGAGTACCTTCCTCAAGTTAACGTTGACCCTCCACAGGTTTCTGCTAGTATCAGCGAGGCTGAACATTTCTTATGAATGTCTTTCGAGCCTGGTATGGTGTAAAGAATTCTCCATGCCAGTATTCGCCATTGTAGCAGAAAACTCACATCATTGTATTCACATCTCTCCTCAATCTGTGCAGCCAGCTTTTCTGCCAGCTTCTCTTCGTGTCTCCCATAAAGTCGACTTCTACAGGACTGGGCATATCTGAAAGTACATCGGAACCTCACCGGTAGGTTAATGACAGGCAGATCTTCTACTCTCTGCCCTTTCAGGTTCTGCAAACTGACCCATGAACTCAGGCCACTGGGGAGTAGCAGCATCTCAAACACACACAGCTTACCGAACAAGAGTCCTAAGCCAAACTCCACAGAGGGTGGCATCCCCTCTATGCCACTGATCCACCCTCATGGCTCTGCCCAGTTACATTGGATTCACCAGCCACAACAAGCCTCGTGGAACACACCAATATTCCACTTGGAATCCAAATGGTAACTGCCATCCCCAATGTTTGCTGCATTTTGTCAGTGTTGGGGGAGGGGCTGCTTCCTAAGCTAAATATGATTCTCTCCATTAGCGTCCCTTTCTCCTTTTTTCCCTTCTCTCTTTCCTTTTGTTCGTATCTCTATACACAGTACAATGGAGGGAATTGTGTCCATGTTAAATTTATATTTTCACACGTCTTTGTCCTTTCTAACATTTAACAGTACCCAAAGACCCACTATGAGAATCTTATGTTTGTTTAATATCCATTCACCCAGAATACATATCCATCTGTTTCTTTTCTGCAGAAACACCCACATTCTCATAAAATGGATCATTTTGTTTAATTGGGCCTGAATTTCAGAGAATTGAAACCAATCCCAATGTATACTTTACTGTCTCTTGCTCTTGGTACAGTTTTGAAGAGCTACTTGTCTTTGTTATAGGCTTATGCCATTTATTCTCTTCATAGGGTTGAATATGTCATTCGTTCCTCATGTTGAAAGGCTTGTAAGTATATGTCACGGAACTTGAATCCATTTTATTCAAAATATGCATTTCATCTAGGTAATGTTGTGCACTTATGAATCAATATTTATGAATATTAATGCATGCATCTGTTTTCTGAATACAAGTGTGTTGAGTACATGCAAGCAGTGATACTGTGTCAATGCATGCTGAATGAACCTTGATATCACTTTGAGTATTTTCTTTTGAATTATCCTGGTTCCTTTGGTTATATGTCAGTCAACCGTACTCTTTTGGTGTTTTGATTCTTTGGGTTTTTTTTTTTTTTTTTGCTTGCTTGCTTTTTGTTTGTTTTGCAAACACATGATGTCATGCATCTCTCCGTTTGCTTCAGAGAGTCATATATGCTGATTCACATAGTTAAGTGTTGAAAATCACCTGTTTTCCTGCTTCCCTCTCCCATCTTTAGGATTTTGATATCCTCTTTGCCTTCTTCTTGTTTATTCTTTGCAACTCATTGCACTTCTTTCATTTCCAGTGATGATTTTCTTATTTCCAGATCATCTTGCTTGTTTTATATTCAGGGCAGCATTCTCAATCTTACTTTTAAGATAAGTTTTGAACTGCCTGAATTCTTTTAAGTTTTGCTGGTCTGTGAATTTCTCTACTTCTGCCATTATTTTAAAGGGTGGTCTTGTGGCATAAGCTACGCTAGATTGCAGCTTTTTCTCATTCAGGATTTGATCTATTTCTTGGCACTCCTTCCTGTCCTTCAATGTTTCTGTCGGGATATCAGCTGCAACCCCTCTGGAGGTTCTGTTGTGACTAAGTTGCTTTACTCTAGGTGTATTTAAAATCATTGGGTTGATCATGAAATTTGATGATTTCAATGATAATACAGATGCTTGAAAGTCTATTGTAATTCCACCTGCTTTCGAAACTGTTTGTTTCCCGACTTAGTATAGATGATTGTTTCTTGGCTTTCAGCATATTTCAGTCTGATATTTTTCGAATACCTTTTCATCCCTTTATTTGTTTTTTTTTATCATCTTTCTTTTTCATCTGGTAATCCTATATGTCCTAACCTTGCATTTTTGTCTTTTCCCAGTTTTCAACAGCAATGTTTGCATTGGTTATCACTTGAATTTAAATGTCATCTATTTACTGACAGTTTTTTGTTCTCGTGTCTTCTTACTTTGAAGTCCCTCTTCATTATCTAGTCTGCCAATTCCTGTCTTTAGCCATGCTATTATCTCATCCATTAAATTTTCTTTTTGTTTTTAACTTTTTATTGATTCATAATCACTTTACAATTTTGTTTCAAATTCCAGTGTAGAGCACTGTTTTTCTCTTATGCATGTGCATATATACATTCATTGTCACTTCTCTTCTTTGTTAGCTAGCAAAAAATCTTGCATATATTTCCCTGTGCTACACAGTAGAGTCTTGTGTATATTTTCTACATTTTAATATCCCAGTCCTTTCCCACCCCCATTCCCCTTTGACCAGAAATTTTTATTCTATGTCAATGAGCCTGTCTCTGTTTTATATATATATATATATATATATATATATCTCCACATAAAACTGATCTCATATGGTATTTTCTTTTTTTTCTGGCTTAATCCACTCAGAATAGTATTCTCCAGTAACCCATGTTGCTTCAATTGTCATTATGTTGTCAGATTTTATGTCTGAATAGTTTTCCATTTTATAAATATACCACATATGCTTTATCCAGTCATCTGTTGATTGACGTTTAGGCTCTTCCTATGTCTTGGCTATTGTAAATAGTTCTGCTATGAACATTGGGTTGCAAGTGTCATTTTGAAGTAGGGTTCCTTCTGTATATATTCCCAAGTGTGGTACACTGGGTCATATGTTTAGTCTAATCCTAATCTTTTTAAGAATCTCCATACTGTTTTCCACAGTGGCTGCACCAAACTGCATTCTCTCCAGCAGTGTAGGAGTGTTCCCTTTTCTCCACAGCCTCTCCAGCATTTGTCATTTGTGGACTTTTGAATGATGGCCATTCTGACTTGTTTGGGGGTGATACCTCATTTTAGTTTTGATTTTCATTTCTCTGATAATTTGTGATATTGAGCTTTTTATCATGTCCCTATTGATCATTTGCATGCCTTCTTTGGAGAATTGCTTATTTGAGTCTCCTATCCATTTTGGATTGGGTTGTTTGTTTTTATTCTTATTAAATTGTGTGAGATGCTTATATATTCTGCAGATCAAGCATTTGTCAATTTCATTTGTAAAAATTTTTTCCCATTCCCTAGGTTGTCATTTTCTTTTACTTATGTTTTCTTTTGCTGTGCAGAAGCTTGTAAATTTTTTAGGTACCATTTGTTTATTTTTTCATTTATTTCTATTGTTTGGGTTGACTGTTCTAGGAGAATATTTTTGAGATGTATGTCAGATAATGTTTTGCCTATATTTTCCTCTAGGAGGTTAATTGTATCGTGTCTTATATTTAAGTCTTTGATTCATTTTGAGTTTATTTTTTTGTGTGGTGTAAGGGAGTGTTCTAGCTTCATTGCTTTACATGCTGCTGTCCAGTTTTAACAACCCCATTTGCTGAAGAGACTCTCTTGTTTCCACTGAATATTCTTGCCTCCTTTGTTGAAGATTAGTAGACCAAAAGTTTGTGGTTTCATTTCAGGGCTCTCTATTCTATTCCAATGTTCCATATGTCTGTTTTTGTACCAATACCATGCTATCTTGATTAGTGTACCTCTGTAGTATTGTCTGAAGTCTCAGAGAGTTATTCCTCCAGCCTCTTTTCTTTTTCTTCAGCAATGCTTTGGCAATTCTAGGTCTTTTGTGGTTCCATATAATTTCTTATTTGAATTTAATAGATGCAGAAAAAGCATTTGATAAAATTCAGTGCCAATTTATGATAAAAATTCTCACCAAAGTGGGCTGATAGGGAACATATCTCAACATGATAAAAGCTATTTATGGCAAACCTACAGCCAGCATAGAACTCAATGGTGAAATGCAGAAAACCTTCCTACTAAAATCTGGGAAAAGGCAAGGTTGTCCACTCTCCCTATTTCTATTCAACATAAACTTGGAATTCCTAGCCACTACACTGAGTCAAGAAAAATAAATAAAAGAGATCCAAATTAGAAAAGAAGCAGAAGGATATAAAGATCCCTGTGCTATACAGAAGAAATTTGTTTTTTTCCATCCAGTATTTATATATAGTGGTCCACATTTGCAAATCACAAACTCCCAAATTTATCCCTTCCCATTCGCTTTCCCCCAGTAACCATAAGAATATTTACTTTGTTTGCAAGTCTGTTTCTACTTTGTAGATGAGTTCATTACTGTGTTCCTTTTCTTTCATTTCTTAGATTTCACATATCAGTGATACCATATATTTTCTTTCTCTTTCTTCCTTCCTTCACTTAAAAATGATCTCTAGATCCATCCATGTTATGATTTTATTCTTTTTTATGGCTAAATAGTATTCCATTGTATAAATATAACACCGCTTCTTTATAGTGTCATATGTCAATGGACATTTAGGTTGTTTCCACATCTTGGCTATTGTATATTTTGCTGTTATTGACATTTGGGTGATGTATCTTTTCAATTTAGAGTTCCCTCTTGATATATGCCCAGGAGTTGGATTGCTAGATCATATGCTTGGTGTAGCCATTATGGAAAACATTTTGGATATGTCTCAAAAAACTAAAAATAGACTTACCACATTATCTACTCCTGGGCATATCTATTTCTGAATGATCTGAGTATAATTTATAGAAATCATGTCTCAAATTCAGTGACTATTTTTTAAGATATAGATTTTCTCTTATGCAATCACAATATTTTTATCAAAATCAGGATAATTAATACTGATTCAGTATTATTATGTATGACACAGTTCATATTCAAATTGTACCAACTGTTCTAATCATGTTCTTCTTAATAATATTTTTCTTGGTCCAAGTGCAATCCAGATATTTGTGGGAAGGTTTTCAATTTTTCACCATTGAGTATTGTGCTGGCTGTTGGTTTGTCAAAAATAGCTTTTATTAAACAAGGTTATGTAAATTTTATTATGATTTGTTCTACTTCTGTGAAATATGTCCTGGGTAAATTGATAGGGATCACCTTAAATCTGTAGAGTGCCTTGGGAATATGACCATTTCAACAATATTGATTCTTCCAATCCAGGAGCATGGGATATCTTTCCATTTTTTTAAGTCTTATTTAATTTCCTTCATCAGTGTTTTATAGTTTTCTGTGTAGAAGTCTTTCACTTCCTTGGTTAGATTTACTTCTAGGTATTTTATTACTTTGGGGCTATTTTAAAGGGGATTGATTCTTTATTGTTTTTCTATTGATTCATCATTAGTGTAAAGAAATGAAATTTATTTTTGAATGATAATCTTGTAACCTGCTACCTTGCCGAATTCTGCGATTATTTCTAGTAGTTTTTGGCTTTTCTATATATAATATCATGTCATCTGCATATGGT